GTGCTGACTCAGATGGGCTCCCCTCACAACCCCATATCCTCCGTCTCCTAGGCTTCACTGTGCTCGGCACTGTGGATGTCCATATCCCAGCATTTTGATTTAAGTAGCAGGAACAGGGGTTAGCTGGTGCCAGACTGGTTTGTGTTTTTGTCAGACTGAAGTTTTGACTGAAACACAAACTGATCCGGGACTTTGAGGTTAGGCGGGTTGTTAAATGGGTTTGTTCTCTACTTGAAGGATGTCTGAATTGGGCACATTTACAGACTGGGAGAGGAGTTAGCAAGGTGAGCGTGATGCAACTGGAAGATACTTGATCTCTGTGACCAACTGTAATAATTAGACCATCATACTCATATTGATGCAAGTATCCTCTTTGATCTTGCTCCCGCAACATTTTTTTTCCATCTTTCTACTATTCTGACTCATAACTAGTTTGCATCTAATTCTTCCCTCGGAAATCCTGATATACACATGTAGTCACAATAATTATGGGACATTCCAGGTCACCGAAATGCAGTTGGTTTCTGTTTTCTGTCCAACTGCAGTCAGGTTGGCATGAAATGTGCTTCTGAAATGTAAACTGTTAGCAGGAAAATTTTCATCTCCCGATATGTAAAGAAGTGTGCCGGGTTGTCAAAATGTTTCTTAGATTATAATAAGTGAGAGCAGTTAAAGTTATCTGTATAACAGCAACATAAAATCCACTATTACAAGTAGAAGAATAATATGAGGGCAAAATTTAGGGCCATTTGAGCATTTAGTGTAGGATTTAGTGTGGTGCATGGCACTCAAAGGGCATTTCAGACATAAACAGTTTAAAGTGTTGCTCATCTTGTGTTTCAAATGAATTTTAAGAGGAAAAAACGGATAGTGTTTAGATATATTCACTATTAGATTATGTGCTGTGCAGTCTGGTTTTCAAAGCCTAGTTTGGTTAGTGTAGTGTTACACATTTAAGACTGGTAGCTGAACATGAAATGAAGCGGAGGCAAACACAAGTACAGTGTAGTTTGTCCCCTGCTGTATTCTCTGCAGCTGAATCTGATGTGTCATGCAGAGTCGAGTCGCATTGAGGACATTAATATTTCAGTGACTGTGCCTCATCATCTTATTACATTGAGCAAAACGTGTTAAATGACTGTTATGGGAAAAAGTTGAGTATTCAGATTTTAATCATGACTGAGAAAAAGGGTGTCAGCTACTGACTTCCCCAAATCATTTTCTTTTAATAAAATGCAGATTTTTGCCATTCAGTTATTTTTATGCTTTGAGCAATCCTGTTTGCTGTAAAACTATTGTACTCTTTACATTCTTTTTGTATTTTTTGAACATTTTTAGTTTTGTTTGCACTTTCACATGTTGCCTCTTTGTTTTGGTTTTATTTTGTTTTCGCTTCCTCTGTCTGGTTTGCTCAGTAAAAACTCCCAGAAAAGCAGTTTTATTCCATGAATATCAAGTCTCTACTGGAAGAGTCAATAAATTTGTTTCATTACTTGCAATATTTCTGTCTCTTTCATGACCACTGTCTCTGCATGTTTGTCTTTGTGTGACTTGGTTTAATTACAGGCCACCCATGCTAAGAAAATATGCATCATGTATTGTTGGGGACTTTCTGTGTGCGTGTGTGTGTTCAAGGTTCTTTATTTGTCACATGGATAGTTATACAAGTATAACACACAGTGAAATGTAGCCTGACATGCTCCTCGACATGTGCAAAAATGGGGGGGGGGTAGAGGAAGATAGATAGATAGATATATAGACACACACTGGGTGAATGTGCAGTAGTAGCAGCAAGCAGGTGAATTCTGTACATTAATATTAATAGACATCTGACTATTTTACAGGATAGACAATATAAACATATTTAAAATTAAAGGAATTTGGAATGTACATTGTGCCTGGGTTTAGAGTGTCTGGAAGAGTCCTGACTCAGTCAATTATAGATGATGTGAGAGGGTGGGTGTGTGTTTAGGGCCCAGATGGCTTGGGGGATAGAAGCTCCTCTTGAGTCTCTCTGTCCTTGCCCGGAAGATGCGGAACCTTCTACCAGATTGCAGAAGTTGGAACAGTTTGTTGCCAGGATGGGACGGGTCCTTCAGTATCTGCGCTGCTCTAGTCCGGCATCTCCTGGTGTAGGTGTCCTGAAGCGGGGGGAGAGCAACCTGCAGCAGCGTTCTGCTGTACGGATCACTCTCTGGAGAGCTTTTTGGTCCTTCACACAGCTGTTCCCAAACCACGATGTCATGTTCTGTGTGAGGATGCTCTACACAGCGCCTGTATAGAAAATCCTGAGGATCTTTGGAGAGACCCTGAGCTTCCTCAGTTGTCGTAGGTGATACAGGCGCTGCCTAGCCTTTTTGGTCTGGACCTGAATGTGGGCAGCCCATGTCAGGTCTGAGGAGATGTGGACACCAAGATACTCGAAGGACTGCACCCTCTCCACTGGAGCTCCATTGATGATAATGGGCTTGTAGTCTCTGTGCTGACCCCTTCTGAAGTCCACCACCAGCTCCTTGGTCTTGCCGACGTTCAGCTGAAGGTGGTTGTCCTGGCACCATGATGCCAGATTCTTCACTTCATCCTGTACTTCACACAAGTACACCGTGCGCCTGTACTTGTGTAGGGACATAAATTGTTGCACCCAGTCAGATCAGATTCTGGGGACAAACGGCAATTCCCCTCATTAATTAGGTTTTTAATGAGTAGACTTGGTTTAAGGTAAGAGTCAAGTGGGAAATGAATGCAAGTCACTGTAATGCCCTCTGAAGTGATGGAAGAGCTCCTCCTGTGTTTGTATGTATATTTGGAAGTAGACCTTCAATTAGAAACGCACAATTACAAGAGCATGTCAAAGCCAACTGCACCAGTGTTAAGCATAATTGCATTTTCAAGTAAATTGCATGGAAATGCATAAAATACACCCCCCCCCCCACCACCACACACAAACACACTTTTTTTTTTTTTTTTTAAAGACATGTTGTGATGGCACTGTAACAACCTTCAAAGGTCTTCTGGAAGTTGGTGAGTGGATGGTTTGAGTGTAGCAGTTTCATTTGACTTTGTGATGTGGGTGGCATGGTTGCAGTGTGGTTAGTGCTGCCGCCTCCCACAAGGCTGCATGTTTCCCGTAGGCTGCTCAGACGAGCATGTCAGGTGGAATAATCCCAGTGTTTTACTAGCCTGACTGTCTCAGGCCTGCAGTGTACTCAGAATAAAAGTGAGTCTCTTCCTCATGTGATTGACATACAGCATACATACAACACTGTTTACAAAACTGAATTTAAAGCACCACAACATACAGGCCATAAATGGCATTGTATAAATTATTATTGCTATATTTGAGCCAAACAGGAAAACTTGTTTTACTGTAGACCTCAAAAAACAGCAGGGATAAAATAATAGTTGTTTGTTTATTATAAGATATATTTTTATAGATTATTTTCTCTGTAATTGTTGTTTTGTTTCTCACTGGTCTCCAGCTCCTGTTACTGTGCTACATGTTTCCAAGTATTCAACACATCTTAGTTGTTTTAAGGCTTTTTGAACCAGCTTCTCCAGTCCCCCTTTAATTGATTCTTTTTACCAGTAAAATGATAACAAATTGCTGTTTGTGATCAAATCAATTTAAAAAGGGACTTTTTTTTTAATGAGTTGTCATTACTTTCACGTATGGTCCACTATTCAAGCTCCAGCAGCACAGTGAAGCATTCTAATGAGGTTCATACTGAATTCAGCTATCTTTCTAAAACCCAGAGTTCTTTCCAGAGTACAATAAGTACAATCTTTGCACAACTTTAATAATGGTGAAAGCCCCATATTCACCATCCTTTGTCAAGTGTTTCCACGATCTCTTCTCTGCACATGTCCAAAACATCTCAGCCTTGCTTCCCAAAATTTCCTCCCAAGATCCATAGCTACCAGTTAGGTGATCCCTGTTTAATAAGGGAGTTGTTTAAAATTAAATGAATAAATGATTGGACAATCTAAATAAAGCCAAGCTGAAAATAAGTTTAGTACTTTTTGCTGTAAGGGAAAAAATGGTGGTGTTGCTCACACCCTGAAGCAGACTGCTCCAAAGCCTGGGCCACAGTAGTTAAAGACTCGATCCATGCCAGAAATACTGACTAATTTAAAGTGGCACAGGACGCGGAACACATGCACGTATTATCAAGTTTGGGGGTTTTTTTTAGTTTTTTTTTTTTTTTTTTTTTAGAGGGAATTAACCCTGGAGCTTCTTCCCGCAGGCGATACGGTCTCTCAATCACACCACCACACAGTACTGACCCACACATATGGTTCTTACACACACACTGGACTTTCTGGACTTTGTTTTTGCACAACACTGGTCACTATATTCTTCATTTCCAGTTAATACTTGTACAGCTGCTGTTATTGTGTATATATTTATTTATATTTAGATTTCTTCATACATTCTTATATAGTTCTATATTGTGTATTTTGTTGTACAGTTATTTTATTTTCAACTTTAATTTATATATTTTATCTTATTCTTCCCAGTTAAATTTACCCTTCATTCTAATTTGTGTTGTACAGTTATTTCATTTTTAACCTTAATTTATATTTTATTCCTTCCTAGTTAAATTTACCCTTTTTAATTTTTCATATTTATTTCCTATCTTATTCATAGCCTTTCCTTTTTTGTTTTATTTAGGCCACGAGCAGTTGTCCAAGCATTTCACTACATATCGTACTGTGTATGACTGTGTACGTGACAAATAAAATTTGAATTTGATTTGATTTGATAAGATGTGAAGGTTAACATCTGCTGCCACCTGCTGGCTAAAATGGCCAACTGCCATATTTAAATGTTCATTTAACTACTTTCGTCTGTTATTAAAAAACACACACACAAAGAAAAAAAGTAACGAATCGCACATTTAAACTTCTGTGGCAGATTTTAGATGTATTTGGGAAACGTTTTACTTTCCAAATAAACCGACGGAAATACTGCGGTGGGCGGTGTCAGACGTCAACGGAAACGGAAGTGAATGAATGAAACGATGGCGATAGGTAACCTGTAACGTCTCCGTGCAACTGGGACGAGGTCAGAGTGAGTTTAGTTTTCACACTTTGTGGCTATTTTGTCCAAACTACGTTTTTAACAACTGCCTTCAACGAGTACATTACGTGCTGACGTTAGAAAGAATACACATTAGCCTGACGGTGACTATTATAACTGCTGTAACGGTGACGTTTGTAAGCACCTCAGCTGGAAGTACCGCTGGATAAATTAACTGTAAGCCTGTACGCCCTCCCAGACCGCCCTACCTTTGACACACAATGAGACAGTTTAGCCTCGCTCTCCTCCGCCACATCTCCTCATCCACTGCCCCCGCACTCACCGGGACGTGCCGCCTTCACAGTTGGCACTGCTTCACTGCTTCACGCCCTCAGTACCGGAGCATCGTCCCGCCTCACAGCTGCCAGCACACACGGACTGAAAGCACAGCAGCCAGCCAGCACATACAGGACCTGAGTGGGCCTGAGCAGAGACTGCTGAATAAACTTTATGACGGGCTGATCGGAGGACAGCGGGCGTCTTTGGCAGAGTGCATCACTTTGGTGGAGACCCAGCATCCCAGAAAGAAAGAGCTGGCCCAGGTGCTGCTGCAGAGGGTCCTGGCTTACAGGAGGGAGCAGGAGAGCCGCAATGGAGGGAAGCCAGTGGCCTTCAGAGTAGGTGTGTAGGCTTAAGTCTGTGGCGGTTGTCTGAACTCAGTTTTTCTTGTCTCTAAGTGTCTTTGAACCTAAAATGTATTAAAATAAGTACATTTAAACTAAGGCTACTGCCATTGTATCCGCATTATAACCTACAGATCACAGTGGAGCTATAAGACACGAAACCTTCATATGAAGACTATTTTACAACTGCTGTTGTAAAATAGTTTCTCATAAAATAGTTTCTCATTTCACACTTTTTTTACGATAAAAAACAAAGTCACAGCCAGTAAATATGTCCTAATGCTGAAATCCCCACCACAAGGATAGTGGTGCAATTTCCGGGGGGATGAATTCTCTGAAATTTTCAGGCTTTGCAAAGATTGCAGTGGGCTTATTTGGACCCTTTTGTGTTTTAGTTCGGCCCCCAGGGCCTTATGTTTAACACACCTTGTAGTATAAACACGTCACCTCTGCCATGAATCCTTCATCAGACGGTTTCTGCAGCAGTGGCTCCGATGTTCTATGTGGTGCAAAGAAACAGTCACATAAATTTGCATTCAGATTTCTTCAGACTTGACCCCAAAGTGAAGTGTGTTTAACAAACAAACAAAAAAAAGAGTTTAACATTTTTACATTTAAACTCTGCGTTATTAAAGCTTTAAAAGCAGAAAGTAGAAACAATATTGTGTAGTTACTTTAGCACATAAATTTAAATTAGGTTAGTAGAAATCAGCTCTTGGGGCTGTTTGGTGCCATCCATTACAGTTTAACCTCCCTCCCACAAGAATCATGACTACCATTTTTATGCAGATGATCCACAGTTGTACTTGTAACTTTCCTCTAATGATCTAACCTCTGTTCACAAACTAATAAGCTGCATTAATGACCTTAACTGGTGGATGTCTTAAAACCTTTTAGAACTGAGCAGAGACGAGACAGAAATACTCGTCCAAAAAAAGTCAGAGACAAAAAAACCTGTTCATATTTATCATTCATTTCTCGTCACACAGTGAACAAGTCAGGCATCATTTTGGACAGTGATCTCACTTTTGATAACCAGATCAATAAGGTTACCTGTCACTTAAAAGTATATCTAAGGTTAGAAATTACAATTTCAGACTGACTCCGTGCATTCATATCACAAAGGTTAGATTATTTTAACACTCAAATCATCAATGGGCCGTCTTCAGCTTATCCAAAACACAGCAGCCAGAATCCTTACAGGTACATGGAAATTTGACCACATTATCCCAGTATTGAAGACCACTTCATTGGCTCTCATTACCATATAAAATCACTTCTGTATGTTCACAAAGTTCTCAATGGTTTGGCCTTCCAGTACATATCTGACAACCAAGTCAGACCTCTTAGGTCATCAGGTTCTTTTAACTGGTTCCACAATCAGATCCAAGTAACCTGAAGGGTTCAGTTACTGTGCTCTGCGTCTTTGGAACAAGCTGCCTGCTCACTTGAGATCAATTACATCTGTGCGTACATTCAATAACCGACTGATGTAATGGAATGTGCTACATAAATAAGTGTCATCGTCACTGTTTGTTGCAAACTGATGAGATCTCTTTGATTTCTCAGGTCTGTCTGGACCCCCCGGAGCAGGAAAGTCCTCCTTCATCGAGGTGGTGGGGAAGATGCTGACAGGACGTGGACATAAAGTTGCAGTGCTGGCTGTCGACCCATCCTCCTGCACCACTGGGGGTAACCGCTGACACGTTCATCATCTGCTTTTACTGTGATACAGATGAACTATTATTATTTTGAGCTTTACAGCGCACAGGGAAATTTTATGTAATGTTTAAAGATGCTGGATTTAGGTTCAGGGAATATTGTGCTGTTTATGTTTGGCTGTATTAAAGTGCTTTTCCTGATTTGTGTAGAAACATACGATGACGGAGATAAATGTTCATATCGGTCAAAGTTTCAAATAACGAGGTATGTTGACTGTTCCTTTCTGCTCTTGGTGTAAAGTCACTGAGCAGGGATCTCTTTAACACGACCATTTCAGGTGCAGAGCCCCGCAGCAGAAAGTTGTCTACCACAGGTGGTGGCCTTAAAGAGAGAGAAGTTAAAACTGCTTGCTTTAAACCATTTATTTTCCATAAATGAATCAGGCTATTTTTATTTGAGAGAATATAAAATATAGAGCAGGAAACAAGCAGAATAGGTCCTCTTTGAATAGGCTGAAATCACTGAGTAATTACAAGCAGCACTGCACAGTAAAACTGCTGCCAAGTGACTCATCCCTCTTGCTGCAGGGTCTCTGATGGGCGATAAGACTCGTATGACTGAGCTCTCAAGAGACATGAACGCCTTCATCAGGCCATCGCCGACCTCGGGAACACTCGGAGGTGTCACCAGAACAACCAACGAGGCCATTGTTCTCTGCGAGGGAGCAGGTTACGACATCGTCCTTGTGGAGACTGTAGGTAAGATGCTGTGACGCGAACCCTCGGAGTAAGCGTGTTAAAGCCATAATCTCAGCAAGTATTTGTTCTTCTGCTTGTACTAAGTTTTTTTTTTTTTAATGCAAACATAATTTGTTCAATGTGATGTCTGATAGCAGCGCCAGTCATCAGGCACCTGCTCTGCATCTCCAGGCTAAAATTTATTCACTGTGAGCGCTCTGAAGTTTGTGAAAGCTCATGATTATTCATCAGCTTTCATGATTTTTGAATGACTGAGCAAGTCCTCACCAGAACCAGCTTTCCTTTAAATTCTTTAGATTTTCAGACAACGCAAACGCAGGCAAATATTTAGTGTGACTGTTGGATGTATCGTTTGAAAAGCGTGAGGCTGTATAGGACTGTAGATTTAGTTTCAGATGAGAGGATACTGTGTCGTATCAAACTTTGTCGTGTTATCAGTCAGCAGTGATCGTTAAACTAGTCCTCTGTTTTGTCATCTTTCTTCTTTTTTTGTTTTTCCTCCAGGAGTCGGCCAGTCAGAGTTCGCAGTGGCAGACATGGTTGACATGTTTGTGTTGCTGATTCCACCAGCAGGGGGCGATGAACTCCAGGTCAGTGAAAACAAGCGTGCTTCAGCTCATCTGTGGAGCTGGAACAAAGTAATCGACCAGTAAAATTTAGTCATTGTTAATTTCGTGCTAATGTGTAGGGGAATAAAACCAGTTTTTGATTGAGCTGCTGTCATTTATCAGCCGCTGATTATCTGATATCAACGATCTTTAAATTCATCAGAATTATAAAACCTAAACTAAATTACCTGATGAATATATTTATGAAGCACTGTTTATAAGCAAAAGCAGATTGTGTGTCCACGTTTTTTTTTGTAAAGATAAACATGCTCACAATAAGTATATGCTCGCCACTTAATTAATTAGGAAAATTATTCACTTCATTAGCCTTCCTCATGATGATTAATGCTACAGTGATTATGGTGGGACAGTAGGTAGCTGAAGTGGCATTTGTTTTAATTATAATAACTATTGGTAATGTGGAAACACTCGGACATGAACACATGAGGAAAGCAGCACGCTTGAAAATTCATTCCAGTAAATTAGTGCTTAATAATCAACCTGTGTTACTCAGAGTCAAAATGTACAGTTAGCTCATGGTCTACACATACCACCGTATATTTTTATATGGGATTATTTGAGCTAATCATAGAAAACCTAACTATATCAGAGGTGTTGTAATGTGCAAAAGTCTCATTTCTTTAAGTGGTCATGAGCAATATTTCTCCAGGCTTTCTGAAGGACTTTCAAAGTTTTCCTTTGCTTTTTCAGTCCAGTTCTCATACCTGGGGTTAGGGTTAAGGGTCGGCCATTTACTTTAGCACAGTTCTGTACAGAAAGAAAATATTTATACAATTCGATTCCATCTATCTTTGGATATCGACTGCAAAAATCAGCCATGTTGAATGGAAAGAAAGTCTTAAGACTTTTAAAGTCTCAGGCTTGAAAACACTTGACCGCAGCTCCGTGCAGGAGCCTTGAGGAGCTCAGGCATCAGGCAGCGTTTTCATCGTTTAATCATCCTCCTCTCTAATGACAAAATCTCTGTTCAGGGCATCAAGAGGGGCATAATCGAAAGGGCCGAGTTGGTCGTGGTGACAAAGTCAGACGGAGACCTGGTGGTGCCGGCCAGGAGGATCCAGGCTGAATACACCAGCGCACTCAAACTGCTCAGGAGACAGTCCAAATCCTGGAACCCTAAGGTGTGTGTGTGTAGTGATGTAATGATGCAAGGAGTCGGTAACAAGGATTTGGTGGTGTTTGGTGTTTGCTCTGCTGGGCAGCTACAGCACATGGACCCAACAAGATATCCCACAGAGAGGTCAGCTGACCCAGGAGGAGGAGGAGTGTGGGGGTGGGTCATCATAACATGACGGCACTAGTGCTGCAGTGTCCCACCTCACCCGCTCGCCTGGCTAGCCCTGTCCCTTTGTTTTCCCAGCCCAGTGCTGCATCTGCCCACCGGGCAAGCAGCCAGGAAGCACCCCCACCTACCAGTCCTTATTACCCCCCACCCCCCGCTCCCAATGCACTGGATACTCGGCTGCTGCGTCATGCATTTCACTGATTAGAAAAGTGCTCGTTCTCATAAAATCTGATAGGCTTCTCTTACAGCTCCTCTCTCTTTATGCTTCACGCTCGGCTTTGTTGTGCATATTCGTGTCCGTTTCCCGACTGTATGGCAGAGATTTAGTCTCTTGCTCTGCTTTGCGTGGCACTATGATGTGACATAAATACTATTTTGACTTGATGATTAAACTCTTGGTGGCATGTGAGGCGACTTTTATGGTTCTCTTCACAATCACTTAATCCTTTGGTCTATGTTATGTAGGAAATTGCAAAAGGTAAATGGTCCCAGAGTTGAGAAGCACGACGGGTCGTCTTTAAATTTAATCTTTGTTGTCCATCCAACAACCCAAAACCCCCAAAGACTGATTACACTTGATGTCAGAAAAAAAAAGGCAGATTTTGGACAGTGAAACTAGAAAAAGGTTTTAGACATGTTGCTTAAAAAACGATTACATTCATATACACAGTGCATGCACATCATGAATTAACTGTGATTAATCACATTTTTGGAAACCTGTGCTTAGTTTTACTAGTCACACCCAGCGCTGGTTATTGCCAGACTGGCTGCATCAAGAAAGCACTTAAACCGACTCTGTCTGATAAAGTGAAGCCGGCTAAAAGATCTCAAAGAGCAACACAATCTAAAGAAACTAAAAACAGCTGAGAGATAAATTCGTTGATATCTATTAGTCTGGAAAGAGTTACAAAGCTGTTTATAAGGCTTCAGGACTTATAACCACAGTGAGAGCCATTATTCACAAATGGAGAAAACTTGGAACAGCGGTGAACCTTTCCAGGAGTGACCGGCCTACCAAAATTACTCCAAGAGCTCATCGAGGACTCAGCCAGGAGGTCACAGAACAACATTCGGAGAACCGCAGGCCTCACATGTCTCAGTTCATGTCAGAGTTCATGATTCAACATGAGTCTGGGCAAAAAAGGCAACCATGAGAGAGTTCAAGGTGAAAACCACTGCTGACGCAAAAAGAACACAACGTCTCACATCACTGCATTGTCGAAGTCTCAAATCCAAGTGAGATTCCTTGGCGTGACCTTAAAAAGGCTCAAAAACCCTGCAATGTGTCTGAATTAAAACAACACTGCAAATAAGAGTGAGACGAAATTCCTCCACAGCGATGTGAAAGACTCATCACCAGTTATTACAAACACTTGATTGCAGCTCTTACTTACCAAGCCAGGATCAACCAGTTATCAGGTTTAGGGGGCAAATAGTTTATCACATAGGGCCGCACAGGTTTGGACTTTTTTCCCATCTAATAAACAAAATCATCGCTTAAAAACTGCATATTGTATTTACTCAGGTTATCCTCGTCTAATAATAAAATGTGTTTTATGATCTAAATAATGCAGGTTTGACAAATATACAAAAAAAATTAGAAATCAGGAACACTATGATTTTATGTCTCTGCTCTTTCGTGTTTCTGATTTTATTTTGGTGCTTTTAGAGTTAAATGTTGTTTCAGATGAGTTTTTTGTAACTTCACAGCACTTCTAATATTGGGTTTGTAAGATTAGATAAATTAATCTTGATTTCAGTTTGAGCTTCAAGGCTACTTTATTGTAAATCCAGGAGACGGACAGACCGACGTCTTTGAATGGCATTTCCAAGACATGTTGTGTTAACACAAATCTATTTTAGATGTCATGAAAGCCGTAGGGTCATTGAAGCTTTCTTTGTTCCCTGGTGTTTTAGAAATGCAATACAAAATTCCTCAAGTGCCTCTTTAAGAGCTGTTACATCCAGATTACAAGAAGCTTGTTTTCCCTCTCAGCTTTTAGTGGCTTCTTGATGATTTCTTACGGAGGAACAGTGAGAGCGGCTTTAAAGCTTTCAATGTTGCGGCCAGCGGAAACAAAACCAATGTGACGGCGGAGAGACGAATATTAGAAAGATTTGTGTAACACCTGAAAACCTGGAGAACTACAAGCATTTGTGTAACTAGATACCAGCAGAGGTAAGGCGGTCTGTGAATGTATTAAGTAGTTTTAAAAAGATCATTTATATGAGAGAATATGCTGTAAGTACAGTAAGTCACATGATCTTTCTTCTTCTCACCTTAACGTTGTAACTGGAACGTGTGTAAGTGGATTTTGATCACAGCTGCCATTTATATTCTGAGCTGTGTAAGTGACTCAAATTTGATTGTCAGCTGGTGTTTAATAGAAGACGGCAAAGAAAGGATCTGCACATCTGAATGGAGCTTTGTGTCTACCTGTAAACCTGGAGCCCGCTTTCAACAAACTCAATGTTACTCTGAATTTCATCATGCGCTCTCGGATCTGCATTAAGCTTTGAGGAGAGACGTGCAGTCGAAGTACTAAACACATAAGTGACATTTATCCCCGGATTGCCTGCGTGAACAAGGTGTTAAGGACAGACGAATGCTTGATATTTGCGTAGTGACTTGACAGCTTCTTGTAGGCTGGAGGTGCACTGAAAGGAAAAAACCTTAAATGCAGAACTCCCAGACTCTGATGCATTTACCGCATCCAAAATGTTCTCTTAATGATCGCGGGGGGGAAGCTTAAAGCCCGTCTTCGGTTAAACCTTTATTTTTAATAATAACCTCTACATTTATTGTGTATTGTAGGAAGCTCAGATTGGCTTTTCCCAAGAAGACTTCCTGTTCAGCAGTCTGTACTGGTGAACCGGTAACCTGCTCAGGATTTAATCATCACTGGCATTTGAAAAACATCAATGTAAATGTGCCACGGTTGGCTCAGCAGTGCATGTTGCACTTGTAGTTAAAAAATAAAACATTAAAGCTGAAGTCGACAGGAAAAAATGAGACATTTTAAAACATAAAAACACACGTCGGTATATCAAAGTGAACGTATAAAGTTAAAAGCACATATCTGTTGGTCGCATGGGGTCGAGCTCTGGTTTGTTTTCCCACCCCGGCGTGGTTTGTTTGGGGAGACGTGGCGGTGGTCCCCCATCCAAGCTCAGTCAGACCCAACAGGTGTATGCAAAAGACCTTCCTGTAGCCAGTTGTGCAGGTATGCACGCATGCAGAGAAGACAAAGTGCAGCAACTGTCGGTAAAACTAATGGAAATCCTGCAACGGGCTGACTGTTTTCATGTGAACTATCTAATAATTTTCATTTCATTTCATTTTGACTTTATTTTGACTTCAGTTTAGTTGCAGTTAGTTTTCAGAGAAGTATTTCTTACTACACTTTGAAAATGTTTAGTTTTTGTTTAGTTTTTATTAGTTTCAGTCTTTTATTATTTTAAGGGAAGTGTTTGTCAAAAAAAAAAAAATACAGAACGAGAGAAACAAAACTTTTCAAAAGCGGTTGTCTCACAGTCTTGTAGACGCCCTGAGTTTCAGTAAACACATTCATCAATGCCTCGGCATTTTCACCAAGCTAACAGATGCTGAAGCTAAAGACAGTTCCTCTGTTTTTATTTTAGTTCACAAAATTGTTTCAGTTCATTTCTTGGGGCGATCGTGGCTCAAGAGTTGGCAGTTCGTCTTGTAATCGGAAGGTTGCCGGTTCGATCCCCGGCTCTGACGGTCTCCGTCGTTGTGTCCTTGGGCAAGACACTTCACCCGTTGCCTACTGGTGGTAGGCCTACAGCCTCGCCTCTGTCAGGGCGGCTGTGGCTAAAATGTAGCTTGCCATCACCAGTGTGTGAATGTGTGGATGACTGAATGTAGTGTAAAGCGCTATAAAAGTACAGGCCATTTACCATTTTAAAGGCCATTTCATTTTTTTCCCAAACAGCCCACATCTTACCAGCATCCAGATCTGTTGATTTGTCTTAAAAATTAAAAAACAAAATCCTCCACTGTTCAGCTGTCATGAAGAGAGGAAACCGCCATAGAAGTCTAAAGTATATGGAGCTGTAAATGTGCTTTTTGATACTGTTTAACATTAGATTCAATGGGGATTGTTTCGGTTTTGGGGTCAGCCTCAAGTGGCCATTAGTGGAACTGCGGCTTTTCTTAAACATACTCTTCCAGAGATCTGAACTTACCTCTGGCAGCTGCTGTCATTTTCGTGCTACTGACATGACCTTGAAATGAAAATGATGATTTGCTTTAAAGACTTCATGACCTACAGGAGGCATAAAAATCCATTAACAATATAAAACTTTCTCTGTTCTGTATATTTTGCTGTGACTGTGAAACGCTCATTTTGAACAGCTGAATCATGAATCTTCCCACCCCTCACCTTCTCCACCCGCAGGTGGTGCGGGCTTCCTCGCAAACCTTCGAGGGCATCCCAGAGGTCTGGGCCAAGATGGAGGCATACCGGGAGGCCGCGCTGGCCAGCGGTGAGCTGCAGGGCAGGCGGACGGCCCAGCAGAAGGTGTGGATGTGGAGTCTGATCCAGGAGAGCGTCCTGTGCCATTTCCAAAATCACCTCGGTGTCAGAGAAGCTCTACCCCACCTCGAGGAGAGGGTCACCAAAGGAGCCATCTCTCCAGGACTGGCTGCTGACCTGCTTCTCAGAGCCTTTTCTTCATCCTCTTCATCACAGTAATCACTGGGACTGCACTGTCAGATAAGAAACGGATCACTCACTGAATAGGAGAGCGAGAAAATGACCTTGGCTCTGCGGTTTGCACAAAAAGACTCGATCTCTGCTCTTTTAACACACGATTTAAAAATTTAAATACGTGAGAGTCACCCCCCGTCTACAGAGGCTTCGCTTTCTGATTGCTTTCATCCAAGTCACAAGAGCAGGAAGAGCGCTGAAAGTCGTCATTTCTCGTCAGCGGCTCCGAGACGCACTCGCGTTTGGCAAAAATGAGATGCGTTGAGAGTCCGAGATGTGAAACGCGGAAGCGACCGTCTCTTTTGGACACTACGGACAAGTTTTAACGAGATCAGTGAAGGAGGATTCAAAGGTCGTGTGGTTGCAGTTGAAGAATAGTTTGAGCGGTATCTTTCACTATCATGAACGGCGTGTTACAGTAAAGCTGTGACTCGTTCCTCACGATCAGTAATATCAGTAATAACAGCCTATTTGCGAGCCACAAAGCGTCAATGAAAGGATCGGGCTTGGGTAGAATCGATTTAGTTAGAGCCCCGTGTTTCTGCTGCTGAACTACTGAAGATGTTGCTCTAATAACAGGTTTTCCTCAGGAAAGCATCGAGGCTTTGAATCAGTGTTTTTTTTCTTTTTTTGTTTGTTTTTTAATCCACTGTTTGGTTTCTATTAAAGAACAATTTGAATCTTAAGTGGACAAGTGAATTACATTAAATCTGCCGGCGCAGTTGGCCGAGCTCTTCTACCGCTGCGTGTTTGCTCACGATATGAAAAAGGGCCGAGTGATTAATGTTACCTCTACGAATATTAGCCCTGAGATTTGTCAGAGATTTAATGACATTTCTTTTCGGCTCTCCGGAGCCAGAAATGTCAGCGCTGGGCTTCGTCTGAATGACTCAGCTGTACGGTTGCTTCGAATTCAGGCAAAACACACTTTAATATTTCCAGAATTAAGTTCATACTGCGCTGCGCTCCCGGACACCACCGGAGGACTGAACACAAAGAGAAGTCACGCACTCATAACGCCGGTGCAGCTACTTTATTACTTTATTATTTAAAGAGGCTGCTGCAGCTGCTTTATTCAGGGACCCCGCAGCAGACGCCGGTGTCAGCGGCATATTCTTATACAGTCTAATCTATACACAGGGTATTTCCCACCCATTATGTACTCGTAGGCTGCACCTGTTATTTTTAGTGTCTGTTAATCCGTCAGCTATTTTTTTTTAATATATAAACGTATGTAAACGTACACATCATAATTTCCAGACTCCAAACTGACATCTGAAGACTGAGGGAAAGCCTGGCTGTGGCCTCCAGTTTTAGTCCAGGAGTCCTGTAGGGTTGTAAGTGTTCTTTAAACCAGAAGAAAATGCGAGGTCACATAAAGTTCAAATCCAGTTTGTTGATTCGATTTTCTGAATTCGCACAATGGAGTATTGTCTTCAACCCACCGGGCGAGCAGGTGGCGTGGACGTCCAAGTGTGTGAATGCGATGACTCGATTTTCAAATTGATGCCATAGGTGCATCTACTAAAAATCTCAGATGTGTTCAAATCCCGGTGACCTCGATCTAAAGGTCAAGGTCAGAGGTCAAGTTTTCTGAAAGTCTAAAGAATCCCTTTTGTAACATTCTTGTCCCAGGTTGCCCTGTCTCCTTATCCTCTCTTTCTTCTTCTCTTCCTCTCCATCGCTACCCACCGGTTGTGGCAGATGGCCGCCTGTCCCTGAGCCTGCTTCTGTCAGATGTTTCCTCGCTCACGGGGAGTCGTGTGATTGTTGCGGTTTTTTCTCTAATAGTGTAGAATCGTTAACTTACAGTGTAAAACCCCCTGAGCTCACTGAAAATGCCAATAAATGCTAAAACAAAAATATATCGATGAGATAGAAAAGGCTGTTTGGTTTCTGTAACATCATAGTCCAACAGTCGAAGCTGTCAGCACAATGATGTTGAAGAACTCCCTTGTGTTTGTCCCGTTGGTCTAATTATGAGATTGTGTACACGTGGCATTAAATTTGTGTAAACTTGCTGGTACTTCTGACACACAGTAAGTCACTTAAACTGGTATTGAGAGCTTATTACCTTTTGCATTGTGGGCTGGTTCTTATATAGCACTTTTCTACTTGAGCACTAAAAGCAGTTTTTACAACACAAGCATTTTTTAGTACATCCAAGTCCTTTCTATATAACATTCACACTCCGATGAACGCACCGGGATCATCATCTTGGCACGCAGACCTGGAGCAGCCAGGAGTTGAACCCCCGACCTTTCAATTAGTAGATGTCCTGCTCGACCTCCTGAACCACAGCCACTCTAAGCTCACAGCACCTGGTATTCCCAGGCGGTGCATCAGAGTACTAACCGGGCCCGACCCTTGCTCAGTGTCCGAGATCAGGTGTGCTCAAGGAGGTAGGATTGTAATCCTGCTGGAACAAGGTCCTGGGTTCAGATCCAACAGTTTTTCAGTGTGGAGTTTGGATGTTCCTCTCCGTGCCTGAGGGAGGTCTTTCCAGGTAATCAGGCTTCTTTTCCCAAAAAGACAAGCTTGTTTCTGCCACTGGGCAGATAAAACAAGTCATCTATTAGTCAAAATTTCAACTCACCCAGAAGTTTGACTCATTAAGTCAACATTTTGCAATAATAACTTGAAATTTTCACTCATCTCTACCTTTTCAAATAATTTTCTTTTTGTGGGAGAAACAAGACCCTGAATTGAATAAGTGATAAAAAAAAAAAAAAAGTGGTTAATTTGTTTAAACTTGTAGTTATTTCTTACTTACAGGATCAATAGAGGAGAAACGCTACAGGTGACTACAGAGAGAAAACTGTTTAGATCACCATGAAAATTTCCGGTCTGTCTAATGCTCTGTATTGCAAGTTTTATGAAAGTGTATTTTTGATGAGGCATTGTCACCCCTGTTATTGGCATAGTTTTGCAGATCATAAATCGAATTGGACGATGACTAAAGCCAAGGTCATTAGAGTCTTTATAAAATCTGTTTTTATCATTTGATAAACCAGAAAAATATGAATAAATGTTCATAAATCAGTGTCTGAATGCTGTATAAATAAAATCCATCTGTTTAAAAAAAAGCAGCTTTAGAAATATAAACGAAGTTTCATGTAAGAGCTGAGTTGGAGATTTCTTGCTTGGAATAAACACAATTACTCCGAATGTGGCCTTTCAAGCTTGTTGTAATGTCACGTCACTGAAAAACTAATATTTATGGTTTTCAAATAAAACGTATCACCATGGATATCATATGCAAATGAGATGTTCTCATTAAATATGCACACATTTGCATAAATGAGAAAAAGTACAATAAGCTCCTGAATTTGTATTTTAGATATTGTCTTTCTGCTAGTGTGGAAGAATCACTGTTATGTAACCAAAATGGCACATCTGACTTATGCCTGAAATATCTCACCTTTAAAAGCCGGCAGATGTAGTTTGAAGCAGTCACAAGATCAAGAAGGCGTGATTCATTTCCTCCAGGTCACTAAGAACTGGATTTGCTTTTATACACTATGTAAATAATCTTTATCGTACCATCAGTGTTCTGTAAATGTAAGTTTGTGCTTTCTTCAGCCACTAGAGGTCTCCCAAATCCCACTCAGCTGTGGGTTCATTATCCTAATGACTGAACCCTCAGTGCCAACCGCCCTCCCTTTCTTAGCGCCCCCGCCTCCTGCCCTCCATCCATTCTTCATCGAGGTTGCCTAGGGTGCCGGGTCACTCAGAGGTGAGGACATCAACAGCTGCCACTCTCCTCGAGGTCGAGCTCGAGGTACTGTAGACCCAGCTCTCTGTACACAACCATCCTCTGCTTTTTTTCCCCCCCTCTCTCTCAATCCTCACTGAAAAGCAGAAAGGAGCCAAGCTTGGTACAGTACAGAGCAGGAGGGCTGAGTGTGTGATTGTACAGCTTTCTCAACCTCCTCAAAGGAAAAAAACAGGGTGAATTCAGTGCTAATCTGTGCTTGTACTTTCTAGTCTGCTTTGGAAATACTGCGAAAGCCCCCACCAACCGCTGGACGGGCTCCCAGGTCGCTGCTCGTTTGCTCCCGCCTGCGTGTGAGAGGAAGAATGCCCCTTGAATGCAGATGGATTCATTAGGTCTGAGTAACACCCATCTCCTCCATCATGCTGACACAAACACATACACACTGTAACTGCTCTGGCTTTGCAAAAGGGAACAGTGAGTTCTGCAGCTCTGGACTCCCTCCACGCGCACACACACACACACACATCCATGCATATACACACAGTTGTCTCCAGTGTAAACAACACCATGCGGTTTCACTAAGGAAGATTAACTCAAATGCTGCCGGATCATGTTCAGCCATCTTAGCCCAAACACAGGGCCCGTCCACATGTGTTTAGCATTTTGCCGGATCTCTTGAATGTAAGCAGAGGACAGAGACAGGCTCTTTGATGAGGTTTTCTTTTACTGGTTGTTTTTTTCATGTTTAATAGAGGAGGGGGGGGGCTTACATTCACAGCGTTTCATTGTGTCAGCAGTCTGAAGTCAAAATGCCTTCCTTGGTTAAAGAGCAAACTAAGAACTGTTGTGATTGTTGCCTAAAAACTCAGCTTAACCCCCTCCAAGAAAAAACCTCAGAGCCCGAATGCTGAAAAATGAGGCTACAACACATGTCAGTAAACAGAGCGGGTGTACTGTAGCGCAGAGAGGCACACATGTTTCTCCTCTTATAGGATGCATCAGCGTAGTAGTTTGTTTTCTGCTCAGATCAGAGCGTGAGGGAAGCCTGACAGAGGGAAATGTCAGCCCTGCTACCAGCCACATTTTTGGAGATGTGTGTGTGTGTGTGTCTATGTGTAGTGTGACAGCCGGTCATGGGCTGCTGATCCACAAAGCCTCAGCCATCTCTTCTATGTTTGCTCTCCTCCTCACACACGAGCACATAACATCACACTCGCCCACCTTCCTCCTCCTCCCCCTCTCCATTCTCTCTTGTTTTCTTTTTTTGTTTTCTTTTCTTCCCCTTCTTACACACACGAACATCCGTCCGGCTCACCGCTTACACATCTTGTACATACATACGAGCCATCCATCCATCCCCTGTCGCACACACTCGAGCTGACTGCCTCGTTGCCAACCCGGCCGCTCTGACTCGCCTGGCTGCACTGCTGTCCCTCTGTAGTGACAGATGAGTGTGTGTGAGAGAGAGAAAGAGAAGCATTTCCTCCAGGCTCGGGACTCGACTTTTGAGACAGCCACAAAAACGATGCGAGGAGCCCCCTCGCTTCCCCCGCTTTGCTTGCAGAGGTAGCACCCCACTCATTATGCTGCTCCGGTGGGTCACTGTGCAGCCTCTTCATAAGAAGACCCTCATGGCGACACGTCTTATTATATCAGCTGCTGAGATGGATGTTAATGCTGGGCTGCGCTGGGCGTGCTCTCCAGCCTGTGGAGTGATGAGACGTGGTGGTTTGGTATTCAAAGTGCATCTCATTGCATGGGCTAATTCTATTTAACCTGGTGAAGTCTGCCGGCTGGCACGGTCAGAATGCCCCAGGGAGAGACCACTGTGTACCTCTGCTTTATTACGCACCTGAGGAGGCTCGCTCTCCCACACGCTCCTCTGTTTGCTATGTGTAATTTACTGGGCAGCCTGTGGGCTAAGGCCTTCATCTGCAGGAAGGCGCGAATAGAGCCTTGGCGCCAGTAATTGGACTTTAGAACTGATTGGGGAACTTGATTGACCCCCGGTAATGGATTTGAGTGAATAATTATTTGTAGTTATGGTTGGAAGATGATATCAGGGAGAGAGAGACCAATCCCACCAGTGTGACTCACCCCTGCCGCCAGAGCAGAACGCTGCCAGCACTCAATTAATGAAATCCAGCTGCTCAGGCTCCCCATGTGTAGTGGCTGATCAAAAAACCCACACAGGGGTCTGGTCAGAAAAAAGGGTTATCTTCATCCAACCTTTCCCTTTTGCACAACTGGCAGCCTGTGGCCCAACACAATAGTGATTATAAAATCTTCCCCACTCCAGGTACAAGACATTAAGGTTGATAATGTCTCCATTATTTTTTAACTGCCTGTGGCAGTGCTCAGCACAGCCTACGGCAGCCATGTTAATGAGACCTCTCAAGATGGCAGGCAGCGCCTCCTCAGGACACAAAATGCAATCACTCTTAATCCGGCACTTTAATTGCTGGCCAAAGCCTGCCTAAGTGAATTCAGCTGTTCCATCTCTGCAGGCGAGTGGCTGCACCTCGAGAATATCATACTCGCGAAGATAAACTGGCTTCCAAAACAAATGAGAAGCGAGGCGAGGCGTGGACCGGCTTCTCATAAGCGAGGCTTATTTTTCTTGTTTGGGTGGGTGGGTGGGTGGGGGGTGGGAGAGGGCGACTGTCACCGCCTTCACACGTGATTTTTTTTAACTCTCCACAGAGGCGGTGTGGAGCGAGAACAGTAGCCGCCCCCCTCGCCTTCCTCTCTTTTGTCCTCTTCTCCGCTACTTGATTGACCGCTTGCCCCCCCACCCCCCGCCGCATCATTATTCTTACCAATCCTCCTCGCTGGAGTAAATTCTTCTTCACTCCATCCTTCTCTCTCGCTCTCCTGCCTTCATGCTTCTGCAAGTCCTCCTGTCATATGTCCCTGTCCTTCCCCTCCGCCCACCGCCACCACCTCCTCCCCCCTGTCTGTGTGACCCCTCATTGCCCTCTTGCCAGTCTCTATTATTTCTGGCTGCCCAGTGGCCTGGTCAGGCTGGTGTTCCGGGGCTCGAGGCAGCCCATGTTATGACAGGTAACACTGGGCCACACACTCTCTCTGGCAACACGTGGAGGTCAGCCCTGTCATACCTGTCCACAGCTTCACCGCGCACAAGCACGCACACACGCGCACACACTGAACGGCATGATTCACTGTGTATGGATAACTGCCAGACAGCCCCGGCTGTAACCTTAGATTCAGCACAAGTGAGCGATGAGGCACAGTGCCGTAGAAATACACCTTTTCCCGCTCTGTTCCTTTGTGCTTTCCAAACAATGTCTTTTTTTTTTCTAAAGGTCTTACATGATGTGCTGCTTTTTCAGCCTTGGCAGCCAGTAGGAAGGCTGCAGTTGCTCATGTTTAGCACGGAGAAAGAGGATTTAACTGGATAGTGGTTGTTAACTACTTCTAGCCTCCCCTCTCTGCTGGCATGGACTGCTCCCTGTGTTAATGACCACTCACAGTTGCTGCCCTGAGGGGGCTGCGGGACAGAGTCAGCCAACATCAGACCCTCGCAGCACCTCCAAGACCATCTGCTTGAACAACGGAGAACATGTTCCGCGTGTTATTCCTCTCCATCCTTTGTCTTTTGCTTGTAAAGGAAAAAAAAAAAAGGAGATGCCAAGTCACAAATGGGTTTTATTCATAATGGTTTTTAAAGGAATGGTTTGCCTCCTTTCCTTCCAGCTGCCCTCTTTCAGCCGAGGAAACGCCAGGTTTTACAAGGTTCAGGGCCCATAATGAGAACAGCCATCCTGAGCAAACTCGATCCACACTGGACAAGATGGTAGCGCCCCGGCAGTCGATCAGCAGTTGTTGTTACCTTGGCATGTTTCTGGCTCCCTGCTTGATCCAGGGCAGCGCCCCACCAACACTACCAGGCCTACAAGGGCCAAGGGGACAGCATGGGTTTGTTACGCCAGGTTGACATTTCAGGGAGCTTTGCCAGGACAACGTAGCACATTTTGTCCTCCTGGACAACTCAGGCAGATGGGCAGGCGTCAGTGCCAGGAGCACTGGACTGTACCGGACCACTGGCCTGGCAACTGTCAGCCAGCTAGCCACACAAAGCTTTTCCTGGCACACGGTGGTGGGGGAGGTGTCTCTGGAACACGTGTCTGTTTTTGAAATTCGGAGTCAGAAAATAAGATCAAACCATAAATTAAAAAACAAAAACACACAAAAATGAAATCACTCCTGTCACAGCGCTGGCGTGCCAGTACAGCAATGAAATCTAGTTAAAAACACAAAGAAACAGCTTACTGAAAAACATCTCACCTGCATGTGTGACAGGTGCTTCAGAGGCCAGCACGGCTCATACTGCTGACACATTCATTCACAGTGTTTCAGCCCACGGAGTCTCCGGCAGGTCTGCAGATGAGCAGTAGTTTCTTAAAAATGTATGGATACAGCCAACAGCAGCTACAATAGGAGAGCTTACAGTTTTAAAATGCACAGTATG